GACTCGCCATGCGGCGCATCGCCTTACCTCGTCCGTCGGTATAGCACGAGCAGAAACATTTTTTTTAGTCTTTTCTTTATTCTTATTTCTTGAAACCAGAGAAGTGATTTGCTGCTTAACCCAACGCTATTGTTATATGGCGCACGCGTTCGCATCGACGCCGAACACAATAGGAGAAGAAGCGAGGCGGGTTCGAATGTACGACGACCCGGGTCCCGGCATTTCCGCGATCTCAAATTCAGACGTGACAGCGCGCGTCATAGGCAGCGCGGGAAAGAAGGCGCCCGCTTACGCTGCGAGGATTCCCTACAATAGCCACAAGAAAAGAAAAGTGAATATTATTACTAAGGCGGGCGGTACCTCAGCGCGGACGGATTTCGCAACCGACGCGTTGTCCGGGAAACCGTTGTTCTTTTTTTTTTCGCCTTTTTTAATGAACGAATAAATTAAAAAACAGCTGACGACGGACGCGCGGGTGGGTCTCGGCGAATAAAAGAAGTATCCCTCAAGACGTCTAAAAGTGTAACTCAAAAAAAAAAAGCAAAACTAGACAGCTTTAGAATGGGGTATATATCTACACAAAGTTTTTGCGTGACCTCTCTACTAGCGTTTCACGCCCTTCTCTTGCGTATCCATCCACGTTAACACGCGCAGTGACGACAAACGCCAATGAAAAGCCTTTGCGTACCCCATTCTAAAAATGCCTTTTTTTTAGTAGAGTAAGCGCTGAATAGAGTACCTAAAGGCTACCCGTACGCTATCCCTCGCGTTTACTGCCCCTGAGCATGATGCGTCGTACGCTAACCTCTTGGGTACTCAACGAACCGAGTCGTACACAACGAGCGCTAAGCTTGCGTACGCTGTTCTAAAATTAAGACAACTTTTGAATAGGGTGCGCCAAGAAAATAGCATAGTATGACGCATGCGCAGTGGTGACAAACGCTCGCTCAATGCTTCGCGTACACAACTATGAAATTATCCGCTGTTCTACTACCAGGTCGGCAGCGGGTTACGCGGAGTATAGCCGACGATCCCACTTTCATCGAGGCGAGCGGCCGCCCCATTTGTCTTCAGCGCTTCGCAGAGTCGCGGTTGCTGCTCGTGATTCTACGTTGCCGCGAACACACACGACCGGGGCTGCCTGGCGCACGGGGCACGACGCAGTACCGTCGCTCACAATGCAATTACGCCTCGCGAACCCAGTTAGCGGGCGGGCCACGCAGCGCAGCCGCGATAGAGATCGACCTTCTTTTCCGCCGCCGCCGCCAGCCAGCACGACGTCGACGCAACACAAACGCCCGCACGGCTGCATTACCAACGCGTACCGCCTCGGTTTGCTGGAGCTAGCCTAGCTACGACGACCAGCGGATCCGGTCCGGAAAGACAAAGAACACCAAAACACAACAGCGAGCTGCCGGCGGCCTTAAAACACACACACACACACACACAGCAGGAACAAGCAACTGCCGCCACCGGCGGGAGATCTGGCTCGGCCTCGGAGGCTGAGCTTGCGACTTCTCGAACAGACGATTTCATGCGAAGCGCCGTGATTATTGTCTGTCTACTCAACGTTTCAAAGCCCCCAGACAGAAATGCTGGAACTTGCATGATATTCGGGATCTCTTGGAAACGTCTTTAGAAGACACGGCGCTGGTTCGAGAACTTTCACGGCGGATAAGGTTTTTTTTTTTCTTGTGAAGCATAATCAAAACACGCGACACAAGTTCCGCTGGATTCAAGACAATGCAAAATATATAGATATATAAAAAAGCTCGGTACTTTCAATATCGCCGGAAGCACCAACTCTGCCTGACAAGCTCAAGCAAGGTTGCTCACGGAGTAAACCTGGTAGCGAACTCGGGCGCTATACGTGCCGTTTCGGTCGCAATCTAGTTCATGTTGAATCGGCCTACCCGATCACGAGGGACTCATACGCGCAAAAAAAAAAAAAAAAGCCGATATCAGTCACGACAATTCTATCCCAATCGAAAAATATCCGCGTGACACCCGTACCAGACCTTGTCGAAGAAAAGAACTCAAGACTCAAAATTACCGTACGAGCAAAGCCCGGAGACTCTCTCCGACAAACACGTCGCGTACAGCCGACCTTAAAAGCCCGAAATCCGCTTGCGGAGAATTGAAGAGCGGTTTTCAAGCTGCATTCGTACAGGTGCGTTTCTGATGCTGCATTTTGCACCCGCTCCCAGGTAGACTCACGCCACATGGCTCGAGGAAAAAAAAAGATTCACGCGTTGTTTACGGAGAAGCAACACCTGCGCCGACACCACAGCGAGAACACGCATAGAAGGCCTCCTGGTTCATGTGCGACGCGCCGATGTAGTCAAGACACACGCCCTCCTCCGCACGCGCTAATCTCCGAATACATACACGTGGAATCGCAATTTCTGCTGCCACTGATGCGCGCGAGACAAGCATTCGGCGCAACACGAATAAACCATTTGTAGAACTGTACACTTTCTGAATGAAAAAAAAAAAAAAAAAAGCTCGGCCAACTTGGAGGGGCCGACCGCATTCGGCCCTTTTCTGCACGCCTGACCGCGTTATCCGTGTCGCGGCCCGAACCACCCAAACAGATCTGTCTGTTGGCCTCAATAGCCAAGCACGGCCTAACGCGTTTGGGGGCCTGCGACGCGCGGATATGGAAGGGGACGTTGTTCCAGAATGTTCCGACCAGAGAGGCCCGCTAAGACCTGAGCAAACCGCACACGCCAGATGAGTACGTTGTGCGTCGAAGAAAGCAATAACCTGTGGTGCTTTACTAGCCAAAACCACAATACGAGTATGAGGCACGCCGAAGTGCAGGTCTCCGGAAACTTCTCCCATCCGTATTACATAGCGCAGCACACGGGCCTCTTGCCAGCACCGAAATGCGACTGCCCCGGCAGAAACACAGCCCGTGCCTCTCGGGTCGACGGCGGAGCACCGCAACCACGGTACCACCGAGTTAGACAACATCGAATAAAGTAAAAAACCCACAACTACGCAACTTCGCAGTCGCAACAAAATCAGAAGCGCGTTTCGGCGATCGCATGCGCAACGGTCGGGCGGGCCTCGGCGACAACCGCGCCAAACGTTGCGCACAGCGCAAGCTCAATCGCGTATTTACGGCAACAGCTCGCTTTAAAACCAAGCCCCCGCCAGTGTTTAAATAAAACCCGACTCGCCTTTGTAAAAGACAATCTCGGAACATAACGTCACCACATAACAGGGGCGCGTTTCCTATCTCGACTAAGACGCGCATTCCGTACTCGCCGAGCGCTCCGCAAAGCCAGCTGCGTTTTCCGTCCCGTACGCGACTACGCGTTCTCGTCAAAGCTAGCAGCGCCGACGCGTAGTTTTTGCGTAACTTTCGTGCTTAGCGAATCGAGCGGAGGGACACGATAGAAGATAACGCTGTTTCTACAACGTTCCATCGTAACACTGTAAGGTAAGCAGCGCAACAAGAACAAAGGGGACAAGAGAGCTACTGCACTGGCCGCTTCAGCACAGCTAAAGTGCTCTACTTCACCATACGGTACGAAGATCAATCTCGTAGATGATCCTAGTTTTCACTGCTTTCTTTAACTTCAATTTATAACATTTATTTGCCACGTTCACACCCCCGAGTTTTCCATCAAGCGAGTCCAGCAACATTTTTCTCTCTCTAAACACCACATACGAGAACAAAGAGATTGAAACAGCAGCGGGGGAGGGTGGTGAACAGAAAGAAAAACCCCGAATCCTGCCCGGATTCCAGGAAAGGCGGGCGGGTCTCCCAAAAGCGCGGGAAGGACCGAGCACCACGCTAGCTTGAGTTTCTCGTCGAAGCGAGCGAGCTAGCAGGCAGGCAGGCAACGGCTTCGGGTCTTGCCTACACCGCCGGGCAGGGGGGAACAGAAAAGAGCGAGGCAGAAAGGAAAGAACGCGAGGGTGAGCGCTGTAAAGAAAAGCACAAAGAGGACAGCCCCGTCGGGGGACCGTATACCAAACTGCGCCGCACAGCCCGCGCATTTCCGACGCGCTGCTACCCCCCTCCCTTCCCCCCGTACCCTCTGCTGCATCGTGCGGGGCCCGCCGAGGCACGGACGTGAGCGGAGTCTTCGCGGCTTTTTTGGCCTCGCGTCTGTTCGCGTTCGATCCAGCAAACAAAAACTTTTGTTCCCAACAAGTCGCCTCAACACGAATAGCAAGTAACAGTGTTAGACGCACACGATCAAGAACTAAACTGACCTCGAGTGCCACCGTACGAAGCCAGCGGGTACGGTCGCGGCCTGCACTGCTGCTCGCTACGTGAAGACGAAACGCTTTATGAAACAGCCGAACGCGAAACTCGCGATTGTACAGACTAAGGCAAAACGCTAAAACACAGGTTCACCAACAAAATGTAAGTCTGAGGCCGTATTGAACTGCGGTTGAACATTAGAGTGGAATTTAAGAAGTATCGCTGTTGGTTACGGAAAATATGCGAAAACAGAACGAAGTGGCGCACCAACGCGGCGGTGATCAAAGCATGTAGGAGCACGGAGGCCACGCGCTTTTTGGCAGGTAGCGATAACAATATAAACAAACAAAAACAGGCCACAACAAAAACAACCCAAGTCCCTCACACAACAAACCCCGATATCGTAACTCGACAAGGAAAAAAGTGTGTTGCTGGAAAAGCTGCAAAGGAATAAGGCACAACAAAAAAAGGCTATCCGAAACACGATCGAATGCGGCAAGTACGCACACACACAATCACGCCGTACGCCACAAGCGAAGGCGCGAACCTCGTGGCTCGAGCGGCACCGCACATTGAGGCTGGCTCACGTGACGGCGATCAGCTCGTGGCCGATCATCGTGCACGAATCACGTTCACTGCACGAGCCACGATCGGCACAAAACACACGCGCACAGTCAAGAGAGACGCGGCGAGCGGCCGCGGCAGTTCCACCGCCGGCTCCATGCGAGCGATCAGGCGAGCCGCTCGCGCGGCCGCCAAAATTCGAACCAGTACGTACCGTTTGAAGTGCTCCCGTATCCTTTCTTCTCGAATATTATCCGGTAAATTTCCGACCCAAAGGTGTCTAGTCTCTCTAACCATCTTGCATTGCTGGCCACATCAGGACATCATTGCGCTGGACTCGTACACACGGCCCCATCAAACATATATCATACACCGTGTGTTTTCTTCGCGGCCCACACTACACGCAGGCATTCTCCGCCGCGAAAGAATGACGTCACCCGCTTCTCGCGGGCTCACGCGAGATGCGGCGAGAGCGTCCGCCCCTCGCGGAGACCGAGGAGGGAGAAGCAGGGAGGGAGGTCAAAATGGCCGCCTGCCTCCCACCAGGCCGCGTTCGTGTTTGTTTTTTTTTCTTTATTTTCTCTTGCCTTGCCCGTTTCGAACACGCACAGCGCTCTGGACGCTGCTCGTTTCTCAGGCGGCACTTGTTCGCGAAAGTCCGGTAACTCAGTAATACCCCGTTTTGTCAAAAATTGGTCGCGAAAACGCGGCTATTTATTTAAAGGTGACGTTAATAAATACTCGCCCGGAGAACTCGCGAGGATCCAGCCGTGCCACGTCATTAGGCCTGAGCCTCGACCAGCTGGTATCGTTCGCGCCTTTCCCTATCGAGTGAAACTGAACAAAAACTAGTAATCTTTAGCACAAACGCAAACCCAAGTCAACAAATCGGCCCAATGCGGTGAAAACAGAACAAAAACGCCACAGAAAAGACACGCCACACCCTCATGCAACTGAGTCGCCTAAATAGGCAGAAGAATGCAACACAACAGAAAAGTGGAAAATACTCCCTGGTGATGGTCGAGACCACAGCTAAGCGTGGCATAACTCGATAAATCCCAGGGAGGTTGATGTATCGCCGGCGAGTAATCCAAACTAAACGCAAAGCCACCCCCACGATGCGTCGATAATTCCGATCGTGGTGGGCTCTCTCGCTACGATAATCCACTTTTGGGCGCCGATGCGAAGCCGCTGAACCGAGCGAAAATAAAGGGGAACGCAAAATATCTCCCGATACGAGTAAATCCAATTTCGGCATCCGTTTGCATTTCGAGATGCAAAGATGGCCGCCGAGGAATCGCCAGCAATCCCACCGGCCAACCATAATCCAAGAGGGCAGGCACACCGCTGGAACAAATAATCCATTGTGATCTCTTTTTTAATGGTTACAAGCACATATAATCCGTCCAGCGGCGTCGGATGGTCTTGGTAAGGCACCGCGACTGTACGCACCGACGGCCCGCGGTAATAACAACCCAGCGAAGTTCCTTTAACCTTCTCGGAACACAAAGACTGTTGCTCGAACTTCACCGTGGCAGAATTGGGTTATGCGCCTGCGCACTGCGCGCCGCCACGTTGGGCAACGAAGGGCGGGACTGGAGCGACCGCGCCGCCCTGTGAGAAAATAACAAAACGTAAACGATGTTATTGGTGGCCAGGTGACACTCATCTGGCGCTAGAATTAGCCACGCACTTGTCAGGCACGTAATGCGGCTCGTCAAACGCTAAATATGAAGCCGTGTTCAGCATAACTATCACTGAGCAGCTTGTCACAATTTATATAAGTGCCTTCACACACTCTACAGAGAGGTTTTTTTTTTAGTGTAAAGTCGTCACAAACGGCAACGTGCGTTGTGCAGTTTCGTTTTTCGACTGTCGAATTTTTTGTAGCATAGTGCCGATATATTATGCTTTTTACAAGGCCTCATTAGCAACATACGATCTCCTAAATTCTTTGTTTTTTATATATAAAAAAGAAAATACATTTTCTAGTTAACTTGCTGGCACGTTCTGCACTCTCCTAGCATACCTCTCTGAGAGCCTATATTCGCGCAATATGTTAATTTTATTTGAGGGAATGCGTACCTCAAGCAGCACGAAAATTCGCGGTGATGTCCCAAAGAGATCCATTTGTTTCATATCTCCATGAAGACGACTGATAAGCTTCCATTGGTGCCCTCGACGGCAAGGCCCATATGAATCAGTGAAAGGTGCCCCAATTTTCTGCGTATGATCGCCTCGTATGATTGTGTGTAGCTGGTGCTTTCAACACAGTCACTTCAGAATTTATGTTATTCCACGACAGATGTCATATTGAGGTCTTTAGCCCACAGAGTCAGCCTCGATGTAGGTTGGATCATTCTCAGCTAAGACAAAAAAAAAATAAAAAAATCTGGCATGTCCAAACTGTATATCTGGACCTCTATATCCTCCCAAGCTCGTAAATACACCATCCATGTCATATTTTCTGATAAAATCAAGTTATCAACATTGAAAAAGTTCAGTACCGTGAAGAGACCGTGTAGAATTAAACCTAGTACCACCTAGCACAAGGTCGTGCTAAGTCCCTTCAATTCCAACTGAACTGTCCAAGGCTGATTTCATCGGGAAATATGAAAAGCACGATGCATTATCATGAGCATATGGGAGGATACAGCTTCAGGTTGTACTTTGGACCCAGAAGTGTATTTCGTTGGGCTAATTGTTCAAATATGACAAAAGGTAAGACAGCGCAAACTAGAAGAGATGCAGGGGGAAATAACAAACAGAACAGCGCTCCTCCAGTCTTATTTCGTCATTCGTCTCTCTTAGTTTGTGCCACTTTACGTTTTGCCATACTTTGGGCATCATACCATAAAACTATAATATTTCTCACCGATACTGACCAATTACCTTTGTCAATGCCGACTGTGAGTATGTGGAACAAACAAGCAGGCCTGAACGCGACGTCTGTCGAATAACTTGACTTAAAAAATATATTTAGAGCAAGCCCATATCCTGGTGCTCATTTACTGAAAATTGTACGTGAAAGGAACCGACAACACATTCATGTGCTGCAGGCCTATAGACGAGAGCACGCCTATCTCGCACCCAGATGCCTTTGGCGGTGTACCCTCGCTCCCAGAGACGCCAAAACTAATTTGTTTTGGAACTGCCAACGCGTGCCTCGCTAGCATGGCATGCAGCGGTTCTGGGAATTTAAAACGCGAAAAAACGCCTGTTCGCTCTGCGCCCGCTTATAAAATATCATCTGGGTACCACTGCGCTGCCATCTGATGCGACAACAACCAGCGCAAGAGGAAGAGATGGCTGAGCACTGCTTTTAAAGTTCACAGCGACTCGCGGGAATCGTGCCGGTGCGGTGTTTTGCGATTGCACAGATTTTCGTGCACAACGAAAAACGCTGAGCTCGGCCGCCCTATAGGATATAATCGCAATCAGCAGAAAAAAACTACGAGCTCAGACAAGTGTACGAGTAAGTATACTTATTGCGTTTATTCAAGCGCGACTCCAGCTGCTCCACTTTACAGCAGCGATTTGCGTGCAGTGTGCGTGTAGTATGTGGCACAAAACTATTGCCGTACACTTTCGCAGGCCGCATGTCAGTAATAGGATATCGCGCGCCGCGCATGTTTAGTACAGCTGCAACGGCCTACTATCACGATAAAAGTGATGTGAATGGCGCGGAAAGCATGGCTTTCGACTCTGTCGAACTGTGGCATGCCCTGGCTGTCACTAGGCGAATCTACATGTGCTTTCCGCCGGCGTCACCATAGCATTTTGAAATCTTGTTCCGGCTGCAGGACTTTTGCACCGCGCGTGTGCTCCGAGTGCGCGGCAGGACTGGCAATTATTGATACACACGCGGTGCAGGAACGTAAGTTGGAGCCAGATTCTAGCGCTACGTTGACGCCGGCTTACAGCACAAATTCTGCCTTGCACAGCCGCACTCAGGCTGTGAAGTTTCGCCTTTGATTTGCAGAGCGTGTGCTCGCGTGGCAGTTGAGGGTGTTGCTTCGCCGCGCTTGCAACAGATGGAGCCGCGCGCTTTCCAATATGGCAGCAAGCACTGAGCTCGCTGTGTTCTCGTGTATATCCTTTAGCGCAACGGAAAGCTTGCCGGTCGTTGAGTGTAATCACGGAATGGTAAAGCGGAAAACGACGCGAAACATTTGTGAGCAGAATTTTTCTATCTGTAGCGAATATGCAGTCGTATATTCACGTGCTGCAAACAGTGAGCGCGAGAAAGGTTCGTGTTTGAGCTCGGTAGATTAATACGCAAGCGCGCACTCCACGCGCATGCGCCGTTGCCGTAGACTGGCGGTTATGACAGCAGCGCCACCTCTCACCATGCAACTTTTGTGTCTTAAGCATCACAGAATTGAGCGAGACTGGATTATAATATACACACTCTAACTTTAAAGACTGGCGCTCATGACAACATAAGATTACGCGACTGAGTAACGAAAGCGATCGACTGCATATTTCATAACCCAACTTCAAGGCCACTATATTTCATTGTCTTTTCATTTGTTCTAGGATATCTAATCACCAGTTCTGCACAGTTGTCAGTTCGAAAGTCTTCAAGTGATCAGCTCACTGTGCAGTGGGCTCTGGCGAGTGGGCACCTTGACACACCCCGAAGCCCATGTTGACTCTATTCCAATTGTAAAGTCACAGCCCCAGGGCACCACAATATCAATAAGGCAGTAGATGCAGAGGTTAGGCATGAGATGGAGTGAAGTTGCCACGCTGATATGGATTTTCACTTTTGTATCCCAACAACATTATGCAACCACTACTGTTAGAGACTTCTAATAATCACAAACTAGATAAGAATCATAGAAGTGATTAAGGAATGTAACATTAAATTCACATTTTTCAAATGGTAACATTCAGTGAAGATTCAATCAAAATTACAAAATCAGCTAAAGTTGTAAGTCAGGCATGGTGCTGAAAGGGAGTTCTTGCAACAATCACTGAACACATTATGTCACTGAGGTGAGAGTCTTCACCAGGGATACATAGAACAACAGTAAATACCTGCCCCTGGCACAGTCTCGATCAGTGGTCATCATGGGCGTCGGTAGGAGGGTGCAAAAGGGGCACATGCCCCTCTCAAGTGTCACCGCACTTGCCCTCGCCCATGATACACTAGTGGTCTCCTCCTACCCCAGCTACGTTGCAACATTGGTTTGCACACCCCAAGAGAAAATCCTGCCGTCGACCATAATGGTCATTGGTATTGTTCCCTCGAATATACCAGTTGCATCATGGCGGCCTTCTAGCATTGCCAAGACTGCAATAAGTCTAACCGGGTAGCCCATCTTACGCGTTATATCATTGGTGTCGCATGGGTATGGGCCCTAATGGTGTACATATGGATATCTGAATATAGGAGTACATCTTTTTTGAATACCTGCATGTCTGTGTTTTCTTGGCTGGGGCGAGAGTAAAGAATTTTCGCTATTTAGCAAGTAAATATATATTACTCCCCTTTAAATGCTCAGGCTTTTAGCGAGAATGATTTGACAGAATGACAAGCACTATATACATACAATGAATAGACCGTGTATAGGACCTTTATTGAGCATGAGTAATGCAGTTCTACGTAAAGATCAAAATAGGGTTTCTACTTTTCTTTCTCTCCTCAAACGAGTGAATTGAGGAGCCACCGGCGAGCTTTTCTTCAAAGAACACTGCTCATTCTGAAACAGACAAAACAGGAAAAAACAAAGCAAGTCAGTTTCTTTTTCTATATCCAACATAAAATATAACCTCACTTTATTCTATTGCATTACCAGCATAAAATCCTTCAGCAGAGTTATTGACAAGTAAAATTTATTTGATTTACTTTATTATATTATTTTATTTGTCATATTTGTATACATTCTATCAATTAATACACGACTGTGTTGTTGTACAGCCCTCACGAATTGAAACAGAACAATTCAGGGTTAAGTAGCACACATACTTTCATCTCCACTGGCTTCAGTTTGATTTTGGCGTGATTTTGCCTCAAACGCAGAGATCAGCGGCAAAATCATCTTGGTAGAATAGATTCATCGTGACATGGTGTTATTATCTTGAAAAATTGCAAATGCCGGTCGTTTTTAAAAGATAGAATGTCTCATTTAATTTGTAAGAGCTGTACATGCAGGCAATAAATTAGCCAATCTATACCACTGATATTGCCGCATCCCAATGGAGTATAGACAAAATAAGAGGCAACAGAAAAAAAGCTTTATGAGCCCTAGCCTCCAATTATCTCTCATAAGAAAAGTTACAGAAAGCATCACAATATAATGACAAAGTTTTCAATGCGAAAGTTAGCGAGCCTCAAGACAACCCCAAACAGTGGCCACATATTCACTCCAAACCAGTTTTTGGAATTAACCAGTCGCTTGCAACATGCTAACCAGTGACTGGTTACTTTCCTAAGTAATACACCTCACTGAAACTAGTTACCTATTCAATCACTTAACACTTAATCTTAATTTTTATACGGTAAGGGTGATATTACTCCAGTGTAGTTACATAGACGCATATGCATGGTTGCGACAAATGAATAACTAGGCTTTCTCAATGAAAGGTTGATTGATTGATTGATATGTGGGGTTTAACGTCCCAAAACCACCATATGATTATGAGAGACGCCGTAGTGGAGGGCTCCGGAAATTTCGACCACCTGGGGTTCTTTAACGTGAACACAAATCTGAGTACACGGGCCTCTAACATTTCCGCCTCCATCGGAAATGCAGCCGCCATAGCCGGGATTCGATCCCGCGACCTGCGGGTCAGCAGCCGAGTACCTTAGCCACTAGACCACCGCGGCGGGGCATTCTCAATGAAAGGTAAAGTGTAATTAGAACAACTTAAGTAGGTAACACTGAGATGTGCTGTATTTGTTGCAAAATGGAGATCAAATCGTAAATCGAGAGTAAAATAAAGCTCGTCCCTTGTGTTTTGATATTCTTATAATGATTCTTCCAGTAATATAGAATATAACTATGTTACCTGATCAGTAGCAAGTTCAATCATAACAAATTATACCCCTGTCACACGTGGCTTTGAGTGGGTGTACTTACCCTCACGAACTGTCATTTTGGCGGTCCACTGCTACAGGAGAAAGCGGAGTGTACTTTAGAAATGATGGCAGTGGCGATTGACGGATTTGTAGCACAATGTATATTTGTTATTTTTGCGCCTGTGTCTCATCTTTAGACCACGTTGTCTTCGTGGAAGTAGCACCTGTGCCACATGCCATCTTAAATGACTAGAGAACAACTCACATACACATGTGCAAGTGTACCTGGAAGTAAACAACACGACGGATGCAGCCATTGCTGTGCATGAGTTGCCAGATCACCCTAGTGAACGTGGCCGCAAACAGCCCGACGGTGAAAGTAGCGAGGTTATTGTTGTATTTTATGACTTGTTTCATACATAACCATATCCATCATAACAAAAAAATAATTTAAATATATTATGAGCGGCGCTTTAGGCAACAGCGTCTTTCTGTACAAGCCACTGGTACAGAAGCTACACACTTCATTGCAGCCATTGCAGTAAAGTGAGGTTGGAGAACGCACTTGCCGGCAAGTGTACTTTGCAGCGAGTGACACAAATCTCGCTCGTGTGATAGCGCGCAAATGACACTTGTGGCTAAGTGTACTCGCTCAAAGTGCACTTAAGTTGCTACGTGCGACAGGGCTATAACATAGTCAAAATGGAACCCTGAATGCGGGGTTAACTTTTCTGCACTGGATAACGCTGTTCCAGTTTTGTGTCCGTGACTACTACTTTGCTGACGACAACTCTGACCTTGTGTAGTGCTGTGAGCCAGATGGACCGAAGAAGCCTTGCCCTTAGATGCGGTGCTGGTAGGACTCCTCCGCAGTGACTGCGAGCTAGTCGGTGTGGAGTCCATTCTGCTGGAGGTGCCACCGCCACTGGGCTCCGGCGTGCGTGGTATCTTGGGTCTTGAGCTGAATGCTATGCTGTACTCCTGAAGACTGCGAGCACCAAGGTTTCAGTCATTACATGAGTTCAGCAGAATTAATTAACAAGGTGGTACGCACTTTGTGATAGTAGTTCCCAACGATCTAGAGCCACTCATGATGCAAGATCAATGCAAATAGAGTTGGAATGATCAATAATTAACAAGCAGTAAGCAAATGTGCAACTTCAAATTAAGATCTAGAGGATCTGTAACTATGCCTTCAACCTCATTCTGCTCGCATTTGTTTCTATGAGCATTACATATGTGAAAATAATAATATCTGGGATTTTACGTACAGAGATCACGATATAATTAAGAGGTACGCTGTAATTGAGCACCTGAGAAATTCCAACCACCTGGTGTTCTATAATGTGCACTGACAATTCACAGTACATAAGCCTGTAGCATTCTGCCTCAATCGAAATGCGACCACCATGACCAGGATTGAACTCGCAACCTTTCGGTTAGTAGCAGAGCAGCATAATCACCATATCATTAGCACGGGATAAGAAACTTAGATTTATCGCTCTCTTTAACCACGTCAACGCTAGTCGCTAGTGGCTTCAAATCAGTAACTTTTGTAGCCTGATCGATCGATTGACAAATCAATCAACCTATCAATCGGTTTATAGGTTATGTGGTATTCTATAAAGCAGTGGTTCTCAGCCATGGATGGTCGGAGACCTCTCGTAGACTGGTGGTAGTGATGGGGGACCTCTTGCAGAAAAGGGGAGGGAGGGGGGGGGGGGTATGTAGGTAAATTAACACAACTGGAGCGTGAAACAGGTGCCTTTTATTTTATTGCTACCAAAACATCGAACAAACGTGCCACATCACTTCATTTTGGACAGTTCATCAATACGTGGCACAGTCGCTCTTAGAATTGCATATGCATCTGCAAGCACATTCAACCTGTTTCAGTATTTACTTTGAGTCACGGCCAGACTAAACTACGAAAAATGTAAAAGAAAGCGGTCGAGGGTTTCGCGGTTCACAGAAGTGGCTTCGCGAACCCCCATTTGAGAACCACTGCTGTAGAGAAATGTTGGCAAGCTTAAAGAATCTGTAATCAATAGCTGCCCAATGTGCTGTGTGCTGCCATCAGTCAGAGTACTACAACAAAGAACCAAGACAAATCCAGGTCATCCCCGGCAGAGAAGCAAAAAGAAAGCACTGTCGACAGGCTGAGCCAATCTTTGGTCGATTTTAGCGAAAATATATGAATGGGTCCAGCTTGTCTGCGGCATGACAAGGGCTAACAAGGGCATATGGTACATTATCTACAATACTGCAAGTCAACTTGAATGTAGGTTGACCAACAAAATTACACATCAAATGGCTTGATAAAAGCTGAAAAAAAAAAATGTGTTTATTGCTTCAAAACAAGTGCACAGAATAATAATATGAGTAGGAAAGCAAACATAATGTTGTAACCATGCCATAGCATTACTGAGTTTGCATATATCCTACCATTAATGGCAGTACTAGTTTCAGTTTCCACTGTAAGTCTGGCTTCAAATTTCAAAGTTAGATAATAAAGGTTGGCCTGCAATTATGTAAACACAGCAAAATGCGCCTGAACAGTACCTACTTGAGTCCGTTCACTTTGTCACTAGGTGGGGCAGTTGGTCCAGCTGGGGCCACGAGCGTCTTTTCTTCGCCCGTCAGCTGCTTCACCAGCTCAGAGGCTTGTTCATCAACCGGAGGAGCGGTGAACTCTGCGGAGATGAAATCAAATACCTTGTTCAGATATCTGAGAACAAGGGTATTCGAAGCTAGTCTAGTCAGCTATACATATAAAAGTACCATCACAGACACGCACGTGTAAATCAGAAAATCAGTTTATTTCCACAAAGGTTATTTGCGATAAAATCAAACTGTGGGTTTTGAAACCAAGAATTTAAGCCCAAATTAATTAAAACAAACACAATTCGCATGCTACGAAAGATGCCGCTTTAAGAAGCTTGTATTTTATTATTTATGACGGGCACTTAAACCTACAAGGACGAGTGAATTTTTTTTTACTGTGGTCGCAGTGGAATGCCACAGCTGTGGCATGAAATAAAACATGGGACATAGTGCCCTGCAGAAGAGCGTCATGGTCACTATTAGGTGGAAGAGCTTCTTTTAAAACATTATTGGACAGAAATCTCAGAATGTTGAAAATAAAAAGTATAAATTTTCCCCCATGTCTTGAAGCTTGAAGAATAAAATTCCAGGCTTGAGCAAAACACAAAGCCCTAACACAGCAAAAGCTGGAAGAGCTGTCTCTCTAAAGCGCTGTCAACATTTTGGGGGCGACAGCTGCAAGTACCATTGCAAGGTACCCACTACGCAATCAATCATTGTAATTTTGCAAAGTAAGGAAGTACCCACTGTGCCGTTATTCATCATTTTGTGGAGAATCAAGGTTACCCATACACGTCTGTCAGGAATAACGTGCAGCTTTTTTACACTGCGGTTGATGACGAAGAATTATGGTTGAGCCCATTGCAGTGGGTGGGACGCTTTAATCTAACCATTTGTTATGCAATTCACACCGCATGGTGCTTCGTGTTATCATAATGTTATATAACGTTAGATTACATCGGTAATGTATGCTGTCGGGCTAGTTGGTGTGTAGCTGTGTAATACATCGTTGGCACAAACTTGCAAGAAGACGAAAGAAGAGACACGGAAAAGCGCACACTCGCTACTGACTTTTATTAAACCGAAGCTCATCTTATGAAACCCTCACGCATGCGTACCACCACACGAAAAGCCCAAACAACTATCATCACAACCTATAAAAAAGAAAAGCAAATTCGTTATCATACAATGACAGGGACAAAAGACAAATACATGCTTTGCCAAATTGCTTAATATACATCGCCTCTGCGAATTCACGAACCACTTTGCCTTTGCTTCTTCAAAGTTTGCACCAACGATGTGTTACACAGTTAGATTACATCTGTAGACGTGATTCCTTGAGCAAGATAATACCCGTATGGTATCTTTTTACAAAGTATCAAGTGCCGGTAGGGCTCTGTGGCAAAATACTCTACTGCCATAAAGAGCGCCTCGGTTCAAATCTCGCTAGAATATCCCTCCCCCTCTGATTCCATCCCTTTTTTTTATTGTGCATGGTAGGTATTATGGACACTGGAAGTGGTGGTAGACAACTATGCCACCAAAATCGGCTATTGTTGTGATCTCATAACAGCGTTCCCTATAAATTTGTTTTTCACGGTAAATCAAAGAACGCAGATAATCAATCAACTGCAGTGATATCCCAGAGACTGCCAACCTGGCTAAAGATGGTGATCAGTTTGATCGCTCGCTGCCTACTGCTCATGTACGCCCTAACATGCACATACATGCAACTACACATACATGCCAGGCTTGAGTAAGCTTCTATTTTGATGTTGCTTGTCTGACTACCCATTTGAATAGTCTTGTAGGGACAAAAAGCTATGCCACTTTCCTTCATAATGAAAGCATTCGAGATCATCGGTAACAACTAGTAGTTTACTAAAGAAAGATAGATTAGCTTCTTTGAAACCTTACCCTCCTCATGCAGTCAATACTACTAATAATAATAATAGCTGGAGTTTGACGTCCCAAAACTGGCGTCTCTCATATGATTATGGGAGACGCCGTAGTGGAAGGCCCTGGAAATGTCGACCACCTTGTGTTCTTTAACGTGCACTGACATCACACAGTACACGGGCTTCAACCATTTTGAAAAATTATAACTGCGCTAAAAACGAGACACGAGAATTAGTTATACTTTTCCTAAATGTCTTACGAACTAGCCTCCATCATATGCTTCTCAAGCTCGGCCATTTCACTTCCACCGAGATGCGGCTGCTCAGGCCAAGATCCCACCTGCGACCTTTGGGTCAGCAGACGAGCACCTTAATTCTGTTTCTAAGTGACTTAACCAGGGTATAATGAGCTTTTTTTTATTGAAACACAATTTAGTTTTGATAAATCTGGTAATTACTAGCTGCATCTAATCATAAGTTGCGTGAACATTTTCTGGAGGGAAAATTAAAAAAAAACGGCTGTGTAGTACCGTGGGATATTTATCAAAGAATGACCACAATGACTTTCAGCTTTCTACTGTGTCCTGGGATTTCTCACGACTTCCTCAGGCACCCACGTGAACAACCCAGTTAAACCTCAATAACTCTGGAACTAAAAAAACACAGCTTTATGAAACTTTGCAGTTTCTCTAGTTTTAGTTTAATGAACATGCCCCGAAAGTTTCATCCAGACATATTAAAAATTAAAAAAAAGTCAGTCTTCAGGGTAGCCTCCCCCCTTAACCACCGATCCACCGTGGCAGACGCAGTTAATACTGTATAAGTTAAGCTCTTACTGGCAACTTCAGGCTGAGTTGCCTGGGAGCAGTCTATTTCGTCAGACTGGGATGTCTCGGGTGCATTCACTGTTGTCTCTTCTAAGGACTGGTATGGTGAAGACTCTTCGAGCCTACTAGCAAACATGAAAGAAGACAAGTTGTCAAGCAATCAGGGTGTCATGCAAGATGCTTCTCGCATGTGAGCAGAATCTTAGACACATTGAAAAACGCCACACACTCTGAATCAAGAACTAATGAAAGAAAGGCACACACACAAGTGCGCGAGCAGGCCGCATAATTACTGGCAAACTACAGCACAGATTTTCTATGAACATTAGCAAGCAAGAAAGCAATAAAAAAAAAGAAACCAAAGCAGCACTACTGCTGCTAAATATAAACTAATCATGAAGAGTATGAATGCTATTCCTCAACATAATAGCTTCTAAATAGCTGTGAATAATCAGCCTCATATACGTCCACTTTAGGGTAATACCTCTACACTCCGTAGCCGATTACCTTTTCTTGATGCTAGCTGGCTATTCCGGTTTCCCGATTTCCAGCCTCCCGATTTAGTTACACCATTAGTTCCCTGCTAACCTCAACTGCATCTTTCTTCCATTAACCCCCATTTGGTTCCAATAATTAATGAACCACTCAATTCATGAACCACCCTATAGTTTATATGGGTTGCCAAAGACTATCTGTTCCTGTTAATTACCAATTCAAATACCACCCATTCCCATTCACTCTTCTACCTCGATTATTGCTGCAGGCCTGAGCTGCTTCTAAAGTTTCTTCATTATCTTCTAGGTTACTATTATGCCTTATGGAGGTACTAGCAAAGTGCAGCGATTGTACACTACTCTAAGATGCCAGCCATGCCTTTAATATAGCATCTGTTATGTGAACAACTAAGGACACGCGACCTAACCACTACAATCCCGACAATCAAGCATGCTGTGCCTTATAGCATTATGATTAGTGAAGGCATCAAGTTCTTGGCCATCAGTAAAAAAACACTAAAAGTCCTTAGGTTTAGATAAACATTTACCTTGATACTGTCAATGCCCGTTGAGAAATGGTGTCTTGGTTCTCCTGAAATTAGTTCCATTGCATGAAAAGCATTGAAAACCGAATTTGAGGATGTACAGAGACCATAAAATGTTTAAAGGCCACTATACAATGTATTTCTATTGTAGCATGGCCGGAGAATTTTGAATGGCCCCCGTTTAAGCCACTTAAATTTGAACTAGAGGTGTGAAAATAGAGGATTTTAGATCCAAATCACAAACAAATTGAACAGTAATGGCACCAAATTGAGTACAAATAAGAATAGAACATCATTTGAATAAATTTTGAAAAGTAAAACCACTTCTAGAACAGCCTTAGATTCCCAGAGCAATTTATTTGCAACAAATATTTATCGCCTTTAAAGGGGCCCTGCAAATTTTTCGAGCAGGGTCAAAAAACGCTCAAACTCTTGGGAACACGCGAGCCAAACGCTATAACACCGCATGCGGCCTGGAATTCACAATAAATTCTCAAAGTCAGCTAAAATTGCTTTCTCTTCTCTTGACAAATGATGCCACAAGCTCAAAAATTACTCGTCACAGCCATTGTATCAGCTATTAGCTAAATTGAGCGTGGTGCGCTCGGTCGTTACTGGGGCCACCGCAGGAGGCCGCGACTTGTCCACACATGCGCGTGCAACCGCACCGAAAATCCACACATTAGAAAAAAAAATAATAATAAAAAGAAAACGCGCTAAAGATCACAATGCGTGCGTGGTGTATTTTCTTTCCCCGTGCCATCCCTCCCTGCTTAGCCTCCCGCACTTTTGTCAGGACGAGAGAAGAGAGAATGCATTGCAGCATGCGACAAATATTTGTAACTCCACTCGTGCTGGACGGATTCTAAAACATTTTGCAGTAGTAAATTCATGAGGTAATAAACTCCTTTAGTGAATCCATTCCATGGCTACATGAAAAACTGTTGGAGGGCTCCTTTAATGAAGGAACATTATGATTGCTTTTAACTGACAAAAACAAGATGCCAAAACTATGCAAACTTCGAGGTAAGCTTAAATACAGCAGCAACTAGAGCTTTGTAGATGTTTAGTAGGTTGAACTGCAAAAGCTACTTCAGTACTTGAGGTCACAATTCGTCATCACCTTTTAAAATCAACTGAGACAAAGGAATCAAACAGTTTTTTTTATTATGATTAACATAAATGTCATGATGATGATAGTGAATTAAACACGTGTTTCAATGACACTGCAATTCTAGGCTTGAGTTGCATGCATCTTATAAATCAGTAGTTAAAATAACAAAAATGATCCCTTGCTGCTCTAATGTTTTGTGCTTTTGGGTTCTTCTCATTGATGCTGATTATTTAAAAAGTACTTTAAAAATATTCAGTACTTCAAGACACTATTTAACTTGAGCACTGAATTAAATAGAACACTATTTGATTCATTAGCTGAAATTTTTTAACATTCACACACTCCTAATTTTAACAAAATGCCTTGTCTAACACATTCGTTAAAGGCTTTGTAACAGTAACAGGCAGTAAGGCACATTCATTTATGGTAATTGATTTACTCCTGCCCATGCATTTCTCTTCTTTGTCTCTGTGTGATTATGTAAAAACCATTAAGATTAATTTGTTCAAACTAGGCCAAATTGCAGTTTTGCTTATGGTTAGGTTACACATTTTGAACAGAATACAAGAAACATAAGTAAAAAAATCCCAATAAGAAACTACATATCTCTCACTACGTTTCTCTACACTAACGGCCTATGAAAGCCAGCATGACCAACAACTTTTTAAAATGACCAAAGTCTGCCAGTCCTATCTCACAGCATTACACTCGTAAGTTTTTTTTATCCTGCCGCTCACTGCGCAGTCCTCAGCGAGCTTCCTACAATTGCTTCAAATTCTTGTGGGCTAGTATTTGAGATATTACAAGCTTCTTTCAAGCATGTAATATTTTAATAGGCTAGCACTTAAAATAACACAAATAGGTCGATGAAAAGCCACATACTTCTTCGTAGAACACTTTCAAGAGCTGGTCGCCGTACATCTGGTGCGGCAATGCTTGCACAATGTCGTCCATGTCAAGTTCTGGCTCCGGCTCTGATTCCTCCTGTAAATCCTGTTAGACGTGCAAGTGCCCGTCAACACGGTATAAGCATGTAGGACTGCTGATGTACACAGTACGCTCGGATCTAGATTCAGCACCAAACCCATCAAGTTCTTTCTGACAAATGCCAGACATGCATTCCCACATACAAGACTACTGACATCAAGTGACGAGAACCAAAACATTTTACAAACTTCAAGAAATGTTTCCATTTACATGATACACTACACTTTACAAACGCTCTTCTTGTTATTGTCATCAGAAACGCAAGTCCTCGATCACTCGGCTAGGCTTCAAACGGTGGTCATGTAATGCTCTAATCATTATAATAACAATTACTAGAATCGTTCACTGAAACGTAAAGAATTACCTCATCATCTTCATCATCCTCATTCAGAGAATCGACAATCCCTTCATCAATGTTTGCATCTAGAAAATAAATACAAAAGAAAATACAATTCCAGCACGTTGGCATTAAGGCTTCAAGCAAACCAAGACAGTTATATAAGAGAAAGAGCATTGATTAGAAGGTCGAGATGTCGACCTGAGGTTTTCTGCTCTGGCCTGCTACTCAGCAATGTGGAAAAGAGTGAGAAAGAAGGTGATGCGGACAGGAAGAGGTGGTGCCTATGTACAACGACCATGTAGCACATTGGTCTTCTTCAAGTGTCAAGTCTAATAGTTGTGAGAAAATCTATAAATGCTCTTGTAGCAGTCGTGACTCAGCCCCATGTGAGCGGTTTACTGTTCGATCATAAACTAAACAAATCAAATCATACGCTAAACCGGACACGTGGCAACATGTCACATTATTTGGTTTCAAAGTAAACCATTGTTCTGTGTCAAGTGATTGCTTGAGTAATCAAAGCAAGTGATAGTCCATGCATCTCAAAAGTAAAAGCTCGCATGACTTTGGCCAGTGGTATTACTATCAGGCACAAACCTGAGGAAAGGAGCCTGCTGCAAACTTGATCCAGCTGATGCTGAACATCGGCAGATGAGTGGGCCTTTGCCTTCTGCAGGCTTCCTTCCAGCCCCTGGTATGAAAGGCCAGTGAACAAAAGTCGCAAACGATTGTAGTATCAGGTTCAGTACAGCTGTTGAATTAGAGGAGAATCAAAATTCACTTTAATGTTCAAAGTTCACTTTCACTTTAATTCACTTCAAATTCACTTTAAAAATTCACTTTAAATCAAATTTCACTTTAAAGTCACTTAGTGTGCAAGCTTGGGCACGCTGGTAAAATATAGGATGCAACATAGTGCAATAGAAGACGGGAAAAGAGGAAGGCAAGAGACACAGCACCGAATTGTAACAGTTTATTTATAGAACAGGAATGATAAACTATGATGCGTGCAATAACCAACACAAATTAAAAGATCATTTTTAGTCAGTGTTGTAAATAGTACAAGTAAACGCTGTGAAAAGTAGTATGCAATTCAAAGCTTGTGAAGGCACAATATTTGACGAGATGAAAGTGCTGTCAAAGGAGTGATTGTATTAATTAAAAGTACCATCTACCACTGAAGCAGTCACTGTATGTAGGACTTAAACGCTTATGCACATTTTGAGACAGAATCAACTCCCCAAAACATCGGTAAAGAAGGTAGGTGCCCTCCTGTGACCATAACTGGGGGCAACAAGAAATACGCACCATTTCAACGGCGATGCTTCGAAATTCTGGATCATACAACAGACTGTACAGTGCGCCATTCAAGTAAGGCACGATCTGGAAAGAATACATCAGAATGACTTCAAACCATGCGATTGCCGCACCAGTATACAAAGGGCAGCAGCTGATAACAACGTAACTAAAAATGTGCCGTCTTGCCGAAGATCTTACTTCACTGCCCAGTGCTGAGCACTACAGCTAATTTACAAGCAACAAAAGAGAGCAGACATATTTAGGGTTTATAACAGTGCTTGTCTGGGCTGTTTGGTACGCTGCTTGTTGTGGAAGCACTATGCAAACAGGAGACACAAAGTTCAAAAAATAATAATAAATAATAATAATAACAAATAAAAAAAAAAGTAAGAATACAGATACCTACATAAAAGTGCTCAAACATCTAAGCACTGCTTAGTCCCTTGATGTGTTTCCCTTTTGCCCCACGTGCTGTCTTTATGTATTTTCGTTCCTCAGGATAATTCCTCAGTGCTGTATGCCCGCATTAACATAGCATGACTGCATGCAGTGCTGAAAACAACAAAACAAAGAAGTGTTTCTGCATACAGCAGTAAGGGGCTTGAGATGGCAGCACCTGTAGCGGCAACTGCGGCAGCAACTATGACAGTAACTGCGGCAATCAATGTGGCAGCAACTGTAGCACCAACAAAACACATTTTCTGCCAAGGCAAGCAAGCAGCTAGGTTATTTGCCACAATACCTCTGCATTTCTGCGTTCAAGAAGCTTCTTTACAACGTCTATCACAGAGGTGCTCATTTTCCTGCAGTGTTGCTTCGCTGCAAAGCCAGGATGGAAGCACTTTAGCACCATCACCACAACGAAAAAGGGACACATGGGCAACAAGACATAATAAGCTTGACAAACAGGTCACTTTGTTAAAGTAGTCTGCTCAATGATTTCTGCAAGTGCAGTATATTCCCAGAAAACGGAAATCTGTTAAACTGAATCGCTCCTTAAAAAGGAATGGCTGTTTCTAACAAGATTGGTTTTGTTCTTGAAGTCTGCCCACCTGTTCATCTAGCAGTAAACGAAATTCCAATAAAACGGAACATATTTTCCTGGTCTCTTCAGGTTCCATTTAAAGGCCAACTCCAGCGATTTTTCGAGGTCAGTGGATCTCAATGAAATTCACTGGTTACGTTCATTTGCATGTTTGCACCATTCATGCCAAATTGCAGGCTTGAGAGCTGTGCAGATGCTTTTCAAATGAATTTTATAGCTTGCCTGAATATGCTCACCTTGCTTGCCAGAATTAATGGCAACATTGTGTGTGTGACGTTGAGCTTTGCCTGGCGGAAGTGACGAACTGATGTGTCACTGTAGCGTCTGCTATAGATTGTGTGAATTTGGCCAGTGCTTCCTTGGTTGAACGTGCGATTTCCTTCTCTGTGTTTATGGACGTGCCATAAGTGCCACGTGGTGTCGTATTGTGAGCCACACACGATTCGGCATATATTCAGCATAACAGCGTGAGCGTTTTAGCCGATCGCCGCGGACGACGTGGACATGTAGTGCCACCTGGTGGGCATTATGTACAATGAGGCAGGTTCCAGCAGCGTGAGGTAGATCTTTATGTCAGACGTAGAAGTGCACTCGATTGGGTTTCGGTTTCGATATTGCGATATTTTGGTAATTAAAAATTATTTTCAAATTTTTTGAGCATTTAAGTTATCGGGTGCATGAGAAGAGTGTCTAAGCAACATAAAAGCACCATTATCCTGACATGGTGAAAAAATCGCCGGAGTTGGCATTTAACTGCAGTTTATTATAGTAGTTAATACAAGTAAAGGACTACATGTGAAGTGATCAATAGTCTGAATAAAAACACGGGTCTTACTAAAAAAATGAAAATGCCATGTCAAAGTAAATGATGCCACCTAATTGTTTTCACCTAAGCGTATCTATGAGTTTAGGCACTTGAAGACGAAGTACTCCAGTAAAGCAGGAGCACGCCACATGAGGCTTCAAGCCAATGTGAATTTCTGTGTTCATATTTAGTCACAGGATATATATGTAGCATGCGGGCAAATATTCACCTTCTACAGAGAACTATCATTAAGTTTTTTTAGCTTTACATGCAACCAAAATTTCATACGTACTAACGAAGCAGTAATGAGGACTGCTGAATCCCATACGCTGGATCTTGTACTTTGCTCAGTATGGAAGGCAATATAATCCTCATGACATTAACATTGCTCTGGTTTACTTGGCACAGTGTGAAACCGCACTTGTGTGCTAGAACACCAGAATGGTTCCAGCGAGCTGAGCAGCCAGATGCACCAATCCATCCGTACATTCACACCGATGCCGATCCTGTGACTAAATTTGTATTTCAATAAATGCTAGTTTACGCGGCTCAGTGAAGTCTTTCTCCCAAATGTTAGGACTACAGACAATAGCAGTTCTTTGCCAATGCAGGCACACTAAAAAAAGCAATAGAAGTCAGAAAGATACAAGTTCTAAATGGTTTCGGAGCAGACACAATTTGGTCACATCACTCAGGTGAGAGCATACCAAGAGAGTACATCGCCTAACGAGTCATCTAGCTGCGACTCACACTTACAAGTCATCTCTTTTTCTGTTTTTTCTTCGTATACCCACATTCCAACACATTGTTGTGTAAAGCAGACTGAAACACCATCATCTTCACATGAGTAAAGTGCCAATGAAGCATGCAGAGTAGATAAAAACTATTTAATAAAACCACCGAGATCGAAACCTGCCTGATTTCTGCAGGCACAAGTTCATAAACAGTGCGGTGATATACTCGAGGCCATATTCCGACATTCCGACCTCCTGGCTTTCTTGCAAGGTGCGCACCACCCACTCCAAAATGCCGTGGCTGATCATGATGTCCTTCTGCTGCCGTCTGTAAAATATAGAGTCAGTAACTAAATGTGGACACATTTTTACAAAGTGCGCCCTTAAAGGGGTCATGAACCACTCGTCCAAGTAGTCATCAAATGACCTCAGTGTACTGGCTCACCAATCGAATGCCACAAGAATCTGTCAAGAACAAGTGGAGTTAGGGTAATTTCAAATTTGGTTCACATTTCAAGTGCTTTCTCTCTTCTCTCATCATAAAATTCACGCTGAAAGCGACACAGGGAGGGGTGGTGTGGGAGAAAGAAGTCGCATCAGTGTGCGTCAAAACCTTGAGTGCATGATGAAGTGCTGTCGCTCTCTCCCAATGTGATTCCCGTTCATGAGTGTGGCTCACTGTAATTTTAGAAAAATATGGAGCCCTGCGCTGGCACAGAGAAGCAATCCGTGGCAAGAGGTGCATCCAATTCAAACATCGCCCTTGTTCTACGTTGGCTACTGGCCAATAGCAAGCTATCTGCTGTTCGAAATCAAACAGCAGACAACAACAGTTCCGAAGAGAGTGAGCACACGCCTCTGTATGAAAAGGGAGCGTGTGAGAAAATGGCAACTCCCCTCTGTGCTTCCAAACTCTCCTTATCCCGCACGGCTGCAAGATTTGGCTGAGAGGTTCATAGTAGTGTTTGCCATCAGTGTGATGTGTTTTCTCATCAAGCCCGAATGCCAGTTCATGGCCCATTCAACCCCTAAATTATGATTCAATGCTACACAACATTGGGATCTGTTAAATTTGCCCAGAATATTACAAATCTGCCTCGCAATAAACCAACAAGACGGGAAACTGAAGAGCCCAATTTTTGTTAGTCACAATGATATTAACAAATAATGAATACGTATAAGAAAAATATATAAAATGTTATTTGTAACTTTAGTTGCAGTGTCAAAATAACGAGCTAAATGAAAACAAAAATGGAGAAAAAAACTGCCTGCCTCAGGAGCCTGTTACCTCAGACTCAGTTTCTGCAGTACTCCCAGTATCATGTCCAGAGTTCTGGGGTCCGTCACTCGGTCGAACACAAGCGTGTCTGTAAGCACCGCAACAAGCTGGAGATTCTTGGCCAAGTAACTACGTCCTGTGCATGAAAGAATAAAAATTAACTCACCAATACAAAAGCAGCATCAGGAAGAAAGGAAGGAAAGAAAATAAGCAGCATCAGAGCTTTAAAAGCAGTGAAACCTAACACTTTTTTTTTGGTGAGACCACAGAAGTAGAAAGTAATCATTAACACTGTCCTATATAAATGCCTATAACAGTATGAAAGGCTTTTCTAATGCTTCAGTAACAACCCTGCCCTTGCTGTGTCAGCCTTCCCCATTGTATGTCTGGAAATATCCCTGACCTTCTTTAGGTATCTTCAAAACATATTATTGGATTCTGTTGCCCTGGACTGGAATTTCCTTTCGCTTAACACCTATTCCACATTTCCAGTGGGCCACTAAATTCATATTCGCTGTGGTATTCTGTCTAACCCCACTTTCCCTTTACGTCGAGTGATTAAGCAATGGAAATGAAGGCAGCATAATTAAGACAACAGGTGCAGACAGTTGCTATTCTGCTAAAGACCAAAAGCAGTACTTCACCTAATCGAAAGGCAGCCAATGTATTCAAGAACCTCACAAAGCTCTGCTGCAACCCCGAATTTGGTGATTTGGTTATGTGCAAGATACGGTTCTGGAACGAGATAGGGAGAAAGGTAAATACTTAAAGCAAGACATGTCCTTTTAGTTATTTGATAACAGATCGCTTGGTCAACAAACAATGAAGACATACAACATCGTGAACGTATGAACAGCCCAAGAAAAAAAATTTATAATTTTAAATTGAGAAACTATCAAGTACAGTCTATAACACAAGAATATTTGACCTGATACTAAGGTGTTGGTCTACTAAGCTTTAAGAACTCAGTGCCATTTCGAAAGTTCTGTCATGAGGAAAGTAGCAAACCAGCAATAGGGTTACAACCAGTGAAAACCAGCTCTGACAGTGCACAGTGATGACATTTTTCCGAGAAAAGAATTTGCTTACGCAGTAGTCGGGTGACCTTTCGATGAAGCCCAACAGGTCATTGTCAATATATGCGAGCAGGACGCAGTCTCTCTCCTCAACTGAAGAGGCCTTGGTCAATTTCTAAGAGACAAAAAACAGACGATGTGGAAGCCCAGGTATGCCTCCTTAAAATTAATGACATCAGTGAATGAATGAATGAATAAATCAATGAATGAATGAATCAATCACTCACTCATGTTATTCTTTGCGAGACATATATTGACTAAATATTTTTATAGGTTTATGTACATACACATTGGTCTCGCCATTTTCGTGCACTGGTAGCAAGCAAAAAAAAAAAAAGACACACACGGACAGTTGTAAGAGTAATGAAAAGTGATTTATTAACTTAATATGAAAGAAAATATATCAAAACTCTACGTTCACTAATTTCACACAATGACGTTGAGTTCCAGAAGGGATCACAAAGACAAAGCATCTACTTAAAAGAAGTTTCGCATCAGAACCTCAGCACAGGTGTACGGATATGAAATCACAAATTTCAAGCTATTTTCTCAGATTTCAGTAATTATGGAGCAAAACAAAGCATGGAGGGTTCAGCGTTCACCTTCTTTTGCTGGTGTAAGTTGTACCTGCATATTACAAACTCTCTTTTTAGTCACACCAGCACACTATTAGAACGTACCACCCGAGGAGTTAGAGCATAATGCCAAACCTTGCTGTGGCAAAGTCTGTCTCACATTTCAGGATATAAAAACCCGTCAATCTTCGTCTTGGCAGTCTATCGTACTTACTGACTGAAGAAAATTTTTCATAAGCTTTTATTATACTATGCAAATAAAAAAAGGGTACAACTTTGTGAGGGGACAAGTGTAGCAGTGGCTGCCGGAGAGAAAGATTGCATACAAGAAAGCACACATACCCATCGAAGTGCCTGCAATAGAAGAGCCCGCGTGCTGGCACTCGCTTCTGACAGGTCTTGCTTGATCTTGGTGAAGTCTAGCCTGCACAGATTTTTTTTCACACCCTTCTATGCACAACTACAAGAAGACAAACCGAAGCATTCCTTAGAATTGTCACATAGATTTGTCAGTTGTAAGGCTTCAAAAGCTTATCCTTCCACACCTGCATAACATGTTCTTGTTCGCTCTTTAGACATTGTGCACGGTACGTACCATATTGTTTAGAGTGTGGTACACTTTTACAGCTTCGATGATCGTAGCGGTTTTCTACTCACGACTGAAAGAATACACCAAAGCACTGCTGTGCCCGGCAGTTTTTAAATATCTCGATCCTGCCTGTACCAGGAAAATGCCCGCACTGTGTGGAGAAGTCCTCGGACAGCTTCCACATGTTGTGGGCATGTCAGTCAACTTCTCGCCTCACCCCAAGACCGAACCCCACCCGGGAGAACTGGGAGACAGCCCTGCTCGACTGTTTTGACCTGGCGAGCCAGAAGGCCCTGGTCAACCGAGCCCGAGTCCCGCTGGACGCCAGCGGGCTTCTGCAATGAGGAGCCCACCTATTGTTTGCGAGGGGTGGCTCGCACAGAGCCACTTCCCACCTACTCCCTGTATAAAGATAAAATAAAGTATTTTCTTTCTCTCTTGTGAAGATTAAAGGAGCATCGACACAATTTCTTTACAACTACTACACATTTCAGTCTTAAATTATGATTCCAGGCTTGAAAACAATACAAAAATAAGCACTAACGCTAGCCCCAAGATACACCGAGCACTTCAATGAAACTGCTTTTCTACAGCCAGTTTCCATCTTTTTTTCCAAGTTATGCTAAGAGTAGTGACGGCATGACCCGGAAAGTGGTCATGTTCAGTCGTCTTCTGCACTGCTACATGAGTCCTCACACATGTTAAAGCACCGAGGCAATGAAACAAGCTGCATAATTCTGTGATGCCTCAAAATAATCTTTGGTGTCGAAAAATATCGTTCAACAAGGAGTGCAGCTGAACCCAACGTTGCAGCAAGTGCCCTTATCTTTGTCAGGGTGCCTTGCATCATGACACCACAAAGGAAGAAACTAGAAGGAAATGAGCATGGGAAATGGCTGTGCTCATTTTTTCCCAGTTTCTTTTTCAGATAACAGATATCAATAGTGACGCCATAAGGGGTGACGTCAGAAACTACATAAATTTTTTTAAAGCTATTGCACCAATGATGCCAAGAATGAGAGGGTGCCTTTGGTGAAAGATAAGTCCAAACATCGAAACCTTATTCAACCTGTCTGAGGCACCTTATTTCTATTTATACACCTTTTATAGCACAATGTGGAAATGTGCGCTACACTGCATGTAAAAAAAAAGCACTAATGATGAATCAAAGTGAAGACGAAAATCCTGCAGTTCTCCGTTGTTTGTGCTTTCAGGTGTCATGCTTTCTGCAAGTTGTCCAACATTTACAACACTTATTTTGTCGCCACGCATAAAAACAAGACCTTTAAAAAATGACCTTCACTGCTTTCAATAAATAATAAAGCTAAACAACCTGTGTATTTTTTTGTTTGCTTACACCATCACGAACCTGGTGCGTCTAGTGTGAAGTCCACTTCTGAGGACAAACACCTGGGTGCCGTCACAAGTCGACCCACGTGATGTAAGAGGCGTCTGCAGCTTCACTAGCTCAGGAAATCGCTGCCCGCACGAGAGCAGTACGTTCTCCAAGTTAACCTGATGCAAAAGAAGTGATGCTGCCATCAGAGAATAATTTTCGAAGGAACGAGAAAAGCTAAAGACTTGATCCAAGCAAATGATGGGAACACCTTAGCCCATCTTTCTACCTATCCTGAAGTAACTGACCACCCCTCCCCCCTTCTTAACCTTCTAAACAATTTCAAAGCTTTTCTTTCTTTTTAGTACACCTTGTCCATTACATTTACACATGAACTGCATTTACTCGGGCGTGCAAGGCTTGCTGAATAAATTCTAAAACAGGCACTGATGAGAAGTTGCTAAGAAAGCAATGATGACAATATTTCTGCATTCACCAAAATCCCACCACTACAAAGATGTTTGCACACATGGTTGACTACATTTAGTCACACCCCTATCCAGTGTTAAAAGTTACTATGTCAGCCAATGCTACGATTTTATCATCTAAGGCTGCATGTTTACAAATATAGAGAACAAAAAGATAGAGATACGGATGCCACACCTTCATATATTGCTTTGTCTATAGTGTGGGAAACTGGAGAAGATAAGATCATAAGTTGGCATTTAAAAAAAGATCAGAAATGAAGAAGTCTCTCAGATCTGTTTTTAAAAGACTGACCTGGTTGCTGTTCTTCTCAATAAGTGCTTTTTTTTATTTACCCTATGCTTCTGATGTTGCGACAATCTGCTCGAAGGAAGCAATGAGGCAGTGAAAATTAGATTACCAGATCTCCCCTGACAGTTGCTTCTAGGGCAGTGATCAATTCCGTTGTCACAGATACAACTGTTTTGTAGTCCTCCTGCAAAAACAAAAGAGTGAGAGAGATAACTGAAGTGCAAGGGCCAGCGGTTCATTGGAATAATATGCTAATAATAATAATAATAATAATAATAATAGAAGTATGCTTGTTTCAACGAAAAAGGAAGGGGCTTTTGCATTCATCAGATGCTTGCGTCTCACTCAGGAATCAAAAAGTGGCCTTTGTGCCACATGCAAAACCAAGCACGATGTGTTGGCAACCTAAATGAAAAGAGGTGTGCGAGGTACCAAAATACTGTGGCTAAGTCGCGGCAGTTTGTCAATTATGAATTTCGTTCCCTACAAACTTGATTCCCTCTGTTCACTACCGCGTTCACCACATAGCGTTCCTTCGACCAACGCTCCTCCTCTTCAAAGCCTTGCAGGCCAACTCACTTTCTTGTGCCCGCATGCGAGAGGCATCCGCTACGCCATCACAAAAAGTGCGAGCAGGCACAAGGCAATTGCAAACGCCAACACAGCGGCTAGCTGGCTCTCGTGATGGAAAACTGCTTGGGTCAGTCTCTTTTTTGTTCTCTTTTGCCCTCGTTCACTCTGTCAGTTACGCTGACAGTGGTGATCCCACTCAACGCAGGAACAGGCCCCTAGGAGCTGTGCTCGAAAATTTCAAAAGCGTGACACATTGTTGTCAATGTGACTTAGCCTTTATAAGTGTCCTGAAAGCAGTTACCACCAACCAAACAAAAAAGTCACAAATTCAAGAGCACCCACATTCAGCCATTGTGAGAATGCTTCTTGACATTAGTACACTGCAAGGAAAAGAACAGGACACAAGAAATTTGAACACTGTCGCCTCCAAAATAAGCCTAATTAATGCAGGACACTGTGGGTACTAATGGCTAATGAATAGATAATGTAATTGGAAAAGAGTAGCGATGTTTATAAATTTTGAAGCTCATGTTGCCCATATGTGAAGGGAACAAAAGTAAAATGTGCCTCAACGTACCAATATCGTGGCAATTATCATTTATATTTACAAATTCAAAATAGAAAGGTTGATAGTTAAAAATGCACTGAAAGTCACAGATTATCAAAAAGGTACATACTTGTAGTTTGCACATTTGTTTGTCCAGAACTTCCCGCTGCTCCTCACATTGTTTTAATCTCTGCTCACACCGTCTAAAGTCTTCACGCATGTCTGCAAGAAAGTGTACAGTAGATTTACCCTCAACTGCAGTAATAACCAATCTGAAAATTTAAAACTGCATTCACTTTATTTAGAAAAAAAAAAAGCCTGCACTTACGAATCCAACATTACTGTTCACTTGGCATCCAGGTGTTATTGAGCGTAGTATTCTTACTTACAAGTGAGCGATTATCGAATGAGGCTTGCTATTAGCATAGAACATAAGTCCAAACTCTGCTGAAATGTTTGACCCTGTTTTGTGACTGTTACAATAATGCTTGCTGTATGGAGTCATGCAAAAATGTGCGCATGTGCACACGCATTAAAAATGCCTTTGCTTTAGGCAAGCACAATAATTTTTGCACAAGATTACGATTTTATGCACTCATAATCTACCATAATTTTGCAAAAATAGAAACTTCTCAGCATTACTTGAATATAGATAGCTACTTCCCACAACTTAAGAAAAGAGTTTGTTGTATGTGATCACTAGAGGCCAGATTTATAGACACTAAAAATTGGGTTTTAGGCACCATAACTAGGCAGCCAAAACATGGTTTGGGCCCCCGAAATGTCAAATATAGGCACAATAAGTTTTTACAAAAATTCAAATTTTCGAAGAAATATGTGCTGGACCTGTGTCTATGCTTTAGTTTATGATGATAAACAGGCGCCAATGGTTTAGCATAGCCACCCAATTTTTTTTCCCACAGGGGTTGCAGAGCATGGTCTCTCCTTTTATTGACCAAGGTGATTTAGGCATCTACCATCGAATAAACACACTCCAGGGTCTTTTTATTTTTGGCATGGCTGAGAATGGCAGCGCAGCAACAAAACAGCCAGACCACTAATAGGCCAGAAGGGTCTTTTAGCCTCGCGTTAACCAGGTCTAATCAGACAGGGCCGATTTCTCCTCTGTCTATGAAGACCTTGAAGGGTGCATCACCAGGTTTGATTGTTTAGAGCAGGAACAGAAACAGATGAATACATGAATACATGTGTAGAGAGGCAGATGAATACATGTGTAGAGGCTAATCGGCCTTCCTATTGGCTAACGGGCCTCATACTCCTAGCAGCGCTGAAAGGAACTTCTGAGATGGAGTATAGGTTTAAAGCCATAGGGTTCCAAAATCTCAGTTTTGGCTGGTAACATGAATACTGGTATCCAACTGTACTCGAAAGCAATATTTGAGGTTAAATAGAGCTCATCTGCAACGATTTCAAAAATAAGCATTCATAGGAATTCATGTGCAAAATTGAAAAAATAGGCATTTATAGGCCCTATAAAGACACTAGACACTCTAAAAGTCCTTCTTAACATCTAATTTATGCCTATATATCAAAGTGGCACGACAAAACCACAAGAAACAAAATAGGCATTGCCTATAATCCGTTCTCTAGTAATCATGCAATCTAATTAGGGTGTGCCAAAACACTTGTTTACCAATGTATACATAGCTTATTAAGCATATATCTCATCAGAGATTAAATCAGAAAAGCCTTAATGATGATGTCTTACCATTCAGTTCCACATCACTGCAATACTAATCGAATTGTAGTCAAGGACACTGACACATTATTCATATTATAGCACACATTACAATTCAAGCACAGTGCACTGGTCTAGGCTCATCGGTACAAAACATTGTTGAAATGCAAATTAGCAAGTGTATAAGCAGTATACTTAGCTTCAATTCACAAAATATTGCCTAACTTACCGTATATACTCGTGTAAGGGCCGCCCTCGTGTAAGGGCCGCACCCCAACTTTGAAAGCGGATATTTCGAAAAAAAAAAAAACAAAAGTTCAAAATGTCCCGCCAGAAAAGTGTAGTTAGTTCATTTACAGCCAGATGGCGCTGCACGCTTTTCCGCTTTTATTCTACTTCCGCCGACGCGCCGACCACGCTGTTGACAGCGCGCCGCCATATTTGCCTTGTGCGGCCTCTTTGTTGGCATCGTTCCTAGCATCGTGTCGATACGTTGGCAGCGCGACTTCAGATCGGTGTCGTCGGTGTCACTTTGTTGGTTGTAGTGAACCCTGCAGAAGCCAGCGCACGTGACGGACGATGGGCCGGCATCTGAGATCATTCACTGCAGCATTTAAGCTGCAAGTGATTGACTATGCCGAGGAGCACGGGAAGCGGGAAGCTGGACGAAAGTACGACGTCGATGAGAAGCGCGTGCGTTACTGGATGAATCAGAAAGATGCCCTCGCCGCTACTAACAGGAGCCGAAAGGCGTTTCGCGGGAAAAAGTGCAAGTACCCGCAACTCGAAAGCGAGCTCGTCAACTACGTCGTCGACACACGAAGGGACGGCTACGCCGTATCGACTGACATGATACGCGTCAAAGCCCTCAGCATCGCTCGCCACATGGAAATACCCCCGGCACAATTCAAGGCAAGTCGGGGCTGGGCTACGCGGTTTATGAACCGTAACCAGCTTTCTATTCGGCGCCGAACGACGATTTGCCAAAAACTGCCGCGCGAGTACGAAGACCACGTCATTAAGTTTCATCGCTTCGTGAATGCTCTCAGGAGGGAGCATGAATACGACCTGTCCCAAATTGGGAATGCGGACCAGACACCTGTGTGGTTCGATGCACCGGAAAGCACCACAGTGGATTTAAAAGGTGCGAAAAGTGTGTCTGTGCGCACGACTGGTGCAGAACGCCAAAGGTGCACTGTGATGTTGTGCATCACGGCAGACGGCAGGAGGCTTCCGCCGTACGTCGTATTTAAAAGGAAGACTCTCCCAAAAGAGAAGTTCCCTCAGGGAATCGTCGTACGTGCGCAAGAGAAGGGCTGGATGTCCGAGGAACTGGTCGTTGACTGGATTAAGACCGTCTGGGCAAACAGACCTGGAGGGCTGTTACAACGGAAAGCCCTCCTTGTTTTGGACAGCTTTAGGGGCCACTTGACCGACCGCGTCAAGAACCGAGTTGCCGCAACTCGTACGGACTTGGCCGTCATTCCCGGTGGCCTGACGAGTGTGCTGCAGCCGCTCGACGTATGCGTCAACAGACCATTCAAAGTGGAATTTCGCCGATGTTACTCTGAATGGATGGCTGGAGGCGTCCACGAGAAGACCCCTACAGGACGGCTGAAGCGGGCGTCGCTCCAACAGGTGTGTGAATGGATTTTGAATGCGTGGCGTGCCATGTCAGTAGAAGTAGTTGCTAAAAGCTTCAATGTAACGGGAATTTCGAACTCCATGAACGGCACCGAAGATGACCGTCTCTGGGAAGACGCGGACGCCGAGGCGAGCTCCTCCGAGAACGAGGACAGCGAAATGGAATCCGAATAAAAACATTTCTGGCATGTCATTTGTGACTCTTGCACTCTGCTACTGTTGCATAAACAGTACAGACCTTTGGCCTGTACTGCCTGTACTAAATCGGCCTGATTCGTGTAAGGGCCGCACCTAGCAAAATTTTCGAAAAAAAAGTGCGGCCCTTACACGAGTATATACGGTAACCTGTATTTTCATTTGGTTGCGTTAAGAAGTCCAGGGGTTTGGTTCCATGCTTCTTAGCAAAACTACTTGAACTCAACCAAAAGACGAATAAAACCAACTGCTGTAGTCCTTCCTGCTTGGCACGAATCAATGAAAGACTACTTAATGATTGTTAAGTAAACTAATTAAATCGAGCTAATTATAGCTTGAGTGGTACACCGTCAGCTCCTGCCTGGCTACAATTCCGTTTGCAGATGACTCGATCGACACCTTTAAATCATGTATTCCTGGCTGATACCCTGGATGTGCATTTTCATGGAGTCTGTTGCATCTTCAATTGTGAAGGACTCATCTACTTCATCTTCATCTCTTTGGGAGCTATGTAGCAAGAAAAATAAACTAGACAACGTGTGGCCTGTATTTTTTTGTTCTGTAATGTGTCTTCATTTAACACACCTTCGAAGATGAAGAGAAATAAAGTCTTTCTGTACCTCTGTCACTTAGTATAACTCACAACAACATCTGCAACAATTATTCTTTACACTATAAGACCATTCGAAATGCCTGATATTTAAAATGAAAATGTGTGGTTCCTACTGCAGTTTGAGCTAATTCCTTTCTACTCTAACTTCCCTCTTAACTCATGCTACAGCAAACGAAGTTGATTACAATGCCCCAAGGTATTGAGTCAAAATGCTGATAGCATCACAGATTGTCATACAGAATACATATAAAAATAGCTTGTTACTTGAACCTTATATAACTCAGAAAGTTATTCTATCAGCTACTTCAAACTATTTCGATCCTTTGTGAGATAGACCGACTGAATGACAGCCTCAGGGAGCATTCGCATATTGTCTGGGGTGATTTACAGAGTGATTTGGCAACGCATTGCTGAACTTGTCTAGGTACACCTGAATTTCAAAAATGCGTAGCGTTCTGCACACATGCCGACCAAACAATATGAGACATAATATAATCAGCAATAATAGCCAAGGATAATCACAAGTGTATGAGTGTGCCATTCATTGGTTTGTCGAATATAGAATATTTCCTTCTTAAGTGCAGCACATGATAGCACCAGATGAATTTTATGTACGTACAAATTTTCAGTTTTGCACATAACTGATGCTTTCTCTCTTGTATGCTGACTAGTTGTCACTTTAGAGCGTCATAATTAGCCAAAGCAGAGTGGCATCAGCATGTGGTTGCCATTATAAATATGTGTCTGAACAATGCAGGTTAGCGCCCGTGTGTGTTGCACTTTTTGGTACGTTGTCATAGTTAAAGTAGTATGAGTGAAAAGAACATTTATGAGAGGTACGACGTACCTGCTGTAGCATTTTACTTGTGCTGGCAACCAATCTGATGTGGTGTTGAACGTGGTAGCTTTAAAAATGGTCAATTAAAAAAAAAGAACAATTCACGTCACCGGTTTCACTATGCAAGAAAAAATGTTGAAACACACCCAACTGCACTAATAAATGCGGAGCCAGTGCACTACTCTGTTCTAAAATAAAACGAAGGATACGTAGAGGTCCATAAGGCGCGGCTTTGCTCGTTGCTGGTAATGCGTCGACAGAGACTCTTGCACAAACTTCTCCAGCCGGCTCTTGAGCTCGTCCACCCAGCTCTCCTGCCAGAAGATACCAGAAAGAAGAAAATATTAAGAAATGTTAGCTTACAATGGCACAAACGGATCATCAGCTAAACTCACAATAAAAGATTGAAACACTGAAAGAGTTCTTTATGAAATAGCAAGTTACTAAACGAACGACGAGAAAATGAGAACACAGGACAAGCCCTTATTCTTTGCATTCCTGTTTTTTTTCTTACATAAAGCAATAACTGACAACCACCTGCTTGTAGGATGAAGCCACAAGGATATCCGTAGGAATTTCTCAGATTACAAAGCTTTTTCATTAACCAAAAATTTGCTTTAGTTTGGCAAACCAAAGAGTTTCTTAAAATTAACTAAAGGGGACTCTGGCACTGCGATCATTCAACAACCATGGAATGATAAGTAGTACACAGATTTGCCTAGTCTTCATACTTGCAAGCGGGAAATCGCACTTGTGGCTTCGCTTATTGCTTTGTTTCAGTTTTGTTTTCAAGGAAAAAATGTAACCTTTTAAACTTTGCGACCCGATTCGAAAAGGTAAGCCTGAAAGATTGAGGTGATGAAGGGCAACTGCTGAACATTTGCAGATTGTTGTTTCGTGACAAAACAGCTTCAAGAAACGTGACCCCAAACAGAGACACAAGTACAAAGATTACACAATACCTGTACTACCCATAATGCCCATGGTTGCAATGCATTGCAGCCCTCGTAGACACTAGCGCCAGAGTTCCCTCTAGTGCATTTATAGGAAACTCTACACGGGAAACAAGTCATATGAGCTCACGAAGATGCTAGCAACTGGTCGAGCAAAGGCATATTAGTCAACAACATGAAGGAAAAGAATACAGAATAGGTGGTTGTCAGCTACCCCTTTCTTAACCCTACCGTCGCAAGAGGGAATCGGTAGGACTCATTTCAAAAAAAAAAAAAAAAAAAAAAAGCAACATAAACTTTGTCTGACCCTGAAAAGTCACAGCCCACTTTTTAACAGAGCACTTCTGCTAGACTGAACACATCTGCTCTAATCCCTCTGGACAACAAGGTACACTGCAAAGCAACACGTAAACCCTTTGTAGTCTCCCACAATGTATCTGATTATTATCAACACATCACTTCCAACATTCCCTTCAATTTTCAGCATGACTGTGATCTGTTTCTCCTCCAGTGCTGTGTTCTCAAATGAAAACGCTAATTATAATGATAACTTCACCATAATGTACAGAAAAGGATAAGAAGTCAGTACGCGGCACTTGCCTCGAAAATCGGCTTGAACACAGGAAACTGTCTTGGTTTTTGAACATAGGGCAAGGCAAAGTACACCAGGGGATCCTCAGTGCGGGCTTTGATGGACTCTATATATTGACGGAAGTTGGTCATTGCAGCCTCAGCAGTCATGCTGCCCTGCACGTTCTGGTAAAGAGAAAAAACACATGGTACGTGACACACACTACACTGAAAATTTCAGTTCACTTGCAATTTTTTTTCCCGGCTTTTGCACTAAAAATTATAAAGTGTCTTACTCAAATGTTGCGCATTTGATGCCCCACGAACCTAGGCAAGCGCGCTCGCATGCAAACTTAAATGAATTGATTGTGAATGATTTAATACCCCCAAACTGCATGCTAGGTAATAATAGCCATGTTGTAATAAGGATTCCGGATTAGCTCTGACTATCGAAGCTTGTTTAACCCACCAAGATGCTTAGTGTACATAACTTGTTTTTAATGGTGTGTGCCAACTAGTGGCTAAGAAAGAACAAGACACATCAAGGATTAAAGAATTGGATCTTCTGCAGAATATATGCCTCCGATCACAAAAATGCACTATATTTCAAGCTTGAAATTTTACCTTATTTATGCAATAACGAAACATGAATGACTTTCGAATGAACAGATCAATAATTATAATTTAATTAACATTAAGTAATATGAAATACATAAATGAACATATTATGACATTATATTTGTCGCAATAGAATATGGAGTTCCTTGAAATTATACACAAATTTTATGCATCTATGGACAGTTCTTAATATATTGCATCAAAAACGGTTGACACATGCACCCGAAGCATGATACACAAGTGTTATAGCATTCCAACCCCATTAGCCCTGCTTCTGAGCATGCTCCCAGGGGAAGAGCGGCACCACTATCAAGAGACCAAGAGGAGATATCTGAGCACTACAGTGAACTCACTTCTGAAAGCAATGCAAGGACCTGCATCATCATCGCAGATTATATGAAGACAATACTGTCAATAATAAAGCACTGAGAGTGCCCTTGTAAGGTTTGTAACAACTTGAATTAAAATAATAATAAGAATTGTTACACGGTACACTGAAGCTAATGCCTACGAGCGCTAGTTCGAGTATGGTGGTTTAGGCAGTATGGAAACCAATAAATTTCTCAATACTTCCGACTATCAAACGATTTTCTGCTCAGCCTCTTAAATTGAAATATAAATGCAGCAATTCATGAGCCTGACTGAGCAAACTTAAACTCACCATGATTAATTTTCATTTATAACATGAAATGAGGCGTCTTATAAGGTATTTAACTTGTCATGCAACTACCCGTATATTTGTCGAAACTCCCGACTTTAAAGAGATTCACTACTGATCATGTTAACATATTTCCTGATAAATGCAGCACTTCCCCATATTTACAAATGTGTAGAGGGACTTTTTTGCTCTGCTGCATTCAAATGACGTACAAATTCATCAAAATTCCCAAAGAAAAGGCAAAATGCCACAAGAACATCTGACACCATAGGCTTTAAAGCTACACAAACCCACATAATACTCGTTCCTGCAGTAAAAGCTGAACAATTGCTCTGCCATGATTCTCATTCATTTTATATGAAACTACACAGTGATAACGTCACAAAAGAGCGGGGACTGAGCCAACAACTTACAGCTTTCTCTGGGTAGCGCTGCGGGTATATGGCAAAGTGCAACCACAGGTGAAACTCGAGGTCACGGCACACGGCCTCATCGATCATGGTACTTCTAGAAACAACGGAGTCCCAAACTGCGAAAAACTGAGCCTGTTTGCCCTCGTCGAAGTAGCTCAGCAGTTCTTTCTGCACGATAAAGGCAAGGGAAGAGCGTGAGCTGTACAACAATGAAGAAACAAGTAAGGAACGATGCATGAAAAAACCACAGGTTATGATCCTCCAGCGATTCCGATACAGCACTGAAGTATTCAGAGATAGAGTTTGCGGATCGTGTTTCTCAAAAAGCGCGATGAAGACATTGTTGAGAATGTAGTCCTACACCTACATAAAAAGAGGGGCGGCTGACATTGCGAATACAGCTTCAACAAAAAATTTCAGTCCACGATATCTTTTGTTTGTGCATGGCTGGGTAACTGATCCTGAATAAAAGTGTAGATGATTTCTAAACAGCAAGGGCTACACCTGGTTTATATGTCTGAAATGTAACGAGGCATGGTATGAGATACCTAATTTCTCATGCAATTATTTTGTAAGGAACGAAATAAGAAAAAAGAAGGGTTGAGCATTGAACGTGTCACCGGAAGTTTGCAGGTTCGGCCCTTGCCTGCCACGGGTTGTCTTTTCATCCACCTAAATTTATGTCATAGTAACTGCAATGCAGTTAAATGTCTGTAAATAACATTCCACGTACTTTCCTTGGCTTTGTTGTCTGTGGTTTTCTTAATTAAGGTTTGTGATAAATAAAAAGCAAATGAAGAAAACTAGTGCTTCAAGCTGCTTTTACTTGTGCGTGTTTTTATATGCAATTCACTTCTTCACTGCAACACTATAATTATGGTCCACTGTTGACAACCTATCAACAAGATGTATAACACCAGGGACAATTGTAAATAAATCACAACTACGGCACGCTAATATTTCTCATCACATCATCATCTCACTTGTGGAAACTTTCCTCTTTGTAGAAGTGATGTTTTATACATTTTATGAGCTAACAACCATGTCATTACAATTAACAGCAGCCTTTTAGTATCCCCGACTCAAGCTTGATCTAGCTTGCCCAGACATAAAACACACCACTTCAGCCTGACCCAATGCTAGTGACTCTATAGTAAAGCCTGACCAAGCGACCTAACCAATCGCTTTAACATGAACCAATATTACCTTTAGAATCTCTTTCAAATAGCAATAAACATTCACTAAGTACTCTGAATGCAAATGAACATTCACCAAATACTCTGAATGCAATCTGACGCTGCGGAGTAAGTGTATTGCTGCACATGCTGGCCATGCAGACTTTACCTGAACTTTCTGAGTCCGCTCATTCCTGTACGAAGCAAAGCTTTCCTGGATCGGCTTGCTGTGTGCCAGGCATTCCTCTTCGAAGGCTTTTGACACACTGTCGAGCCCCAGATAGTCGAGGTACTGCAAGACGTTTTCTTTAGCACGAGTTCAGTATGCTTTGCAAATATCTCTGAATTATGGGGAAAAATGGCAATGGTGTTCCCACTATGAAAAGCAGTACTGTTGAAATGAGACAAGCACTCACCTCTTTCACGATGAAGTTCAAATCTCCTTCAATTGACAGAACAAAGCCAGACATGCTGTTAGCTGCTGTAGGCTCCAATGCTGCAGCCACTGAACCCTACCCCACAGATACCGTGCAATTGTTTGCACGAACGTGTAGATTTCACAAACTGCACCCAGTGATGAGCCTGTAGGCTGACTCTCCGAGATCATCCCTTCTGACATAAACACGATGCCATGATGTTGACCTGCAGAGGGAGAGAAACAGAGGGTGAGTGAAAAGTCGGAATGCTGCGTCATTGAGTCGGTGAAGGTTATAGATGCGCTGATGCCTGCTCCACACACTAGATAGATGTCTCTTGACTACTCTACCTTCTACTCAATTATTTACCCATGTATGTGCACCCTTCCCTGTGGTAATAAGATTATAGGCTGTAGGAAATAGTTCCACGTTTCCATTTCTAACAATAATTAGGTCACCCACATAAGGTTAACCAAAAGGATAAATGAGATACGCTACCCTGCAATGGGAGAACAAGGAGGGGAAGGTTGAAATATAAGAAGACAATGAGAGAACACAAATAAAACATGTATAACACCACAGTCACTATTTATAAGTGACCACTCTTAAAGCAGAATGTCAATACGCCATAGCATTCGTATATGACAGGAAAAAACACTCACAAAGGCTACAGTCACTTGTGCAGGTCTGTCGTCATTACAATAACAGTGCATAGCCAGTGCTCTTAATATTTAGTGGCTTTTGAATTCGTGTTCCATTTCTTATTCATATTCTCACTCCTCTGTCTATGCTATTGACACCTCTTTAATTCGTGAGCTCCACCTGAAATGAAGACCAGAGAATAACCTGTACAACTAAATGTAGTGTGTACCTCTTTTAAGGCAGCAGATTACTAAAGTTTCATTAAGCTGATTAACAATGTCGCACAAAGCAAGCCACATAATTTAGCAAGATGTGTTGAATGCGTCAACTCATTTCGCACTCGTGCTGCCATCTCATTTTCTGAAAAGAACCTTTCTTTTTTACTACAGCTTTTTCAGAACATTTTTCGAATTTTCATTTCTAAATGCAGTGGCAATTAGAACAATACGACACAGTCCAAAACCTAAAGACAAGTTCGCATAAAATTTTGTCCGGTGTTTGCATACTACAGCTAAATGTATGCCAATAATCTTATATGCATACACAATGTTACGGAGTGGTGTTTTGAATTCATGTGTACAACCCGGAAAACGTGAAATAAATACCACCTAAAAGCACCAGAAAAAAAATGAGACACTGCATACGATATCTGGCAGTAATGCAAATCAATATATTAATTAATAATAATAATAAAAATATCTGCAGTTTCACGTTCCAAAACTACATCACTGAAAGACACCGTAGTAGAAGGCTCCGCAAATTTCAAACATCCGCGATTCTCTACCGTGCACCTTAATCTAAGTACACAAGCCTCAAACAAAGTAACGTAATCAACAGTACACTGATTTGGGCCAGCCATTGGCGAGGAAACAGTGCTTTTGAATGACACAGGAGGATTTGTGACAGGTCATGAGTCATCCTTCTTTGCCCTGTTTCTTAGATTTGTATGTGCATGCTAACCAGACAGAATAACCTTTCTTCAATTTTGACAGTTGTCGATTTTTATTGCACCAAAGACCTCAGAAATTAAGAGAAATGTGTCCAATAAGGTTCAGCCCAAGTTCGGCATGTAGACAAGTTTTGTGCTGATTGGTGCATGCGATAATGTGTGGCACATGTGTCAAGAGTGTTGATTGCAAATTAAGCTAGAAGTTTATTAAAAATGGCCTACCTTCCGTCGTACGGCGTGTGAAATAGCCATGGCACGGCCTTTTCTTGAGCACTGCTGATTACTTCAAGAGTCCTGCTCAAGAGTATGCATCATCGATTTTGACGTACTGATATCCTTTATAAAAACCCCGTTTTTCATTTTAGGTAGACGTGCTTTACACATTTGTCTTGGTTGTGTAGACGCGTCCGCGTAGAGGCACGCCTTTTCTGCCTTGTTTGACGACATCAAAAACGAAAGGTATTCACAAGTAGCCTCAGCCTGCTGAGCGCCGTGTTGCTGCATTACGCGTTCGTAGTTTAATCCAGCAGGAAAATCGAAACTCGTCAAGGAACAAGGTACTCTTTAAATAATTGGTTATATTAATTGTCTGTCATACGACACAGCTGCAATTAAATAAGGAATCTCACGCTACTACGCTTATATAATTAAATTTGGGAACTCAAATGTTGTTTTGCCGGCTCACGTAAACTTCGTTTGCACCTACTCGCCGTTTGTGGAAGCACATGTCCACTTGATAACTACTTCAGGTAAATCTATCTGATAACACGTGCGCTACACGACGTTTTGGGCGCTTACGCTGACCACAGAACACCTATGCGCCGACCACAGAGAGCTAACAAAGCGAGTGCGGTAACCACGGTAACTACACCAACTAAGCGCCAAGTGAGGCGGAGCCAGCGGAGATCTGCATTGGAAGTGCAGCCGCCGTAGCGTACGCCAGATTATGCTCATTCGAATTTGTATGTTAAGCTAAAAAAAACCGTAAAATTTATTGAATAAAATAAACAAAGCTATAGCGATAAGCCAACAAAGCATATGGTTCATGGTGCGAACGGGAAGTAATCACTTTATACGAAAGATCTGGTACGCGGGTGTTTTGAATACAAATAAAGATTGCTAACTCGCTGCGTGCGCGTCTAACGCTTACTGAATGTAAAATATCCAAAACAACGAAGCCGTACGTCGTCACACTCATGCCTTGCTCTGGTTATACTACTGTAAAAATTAGATAACGTAGATGACCCTGCATGTGTCCAATGTCACTCTGCATGGTGTCGTGGTTGCTCTACGAGGTGCAGTGCGCATCAGTTCCTTCGTTGGCTCGCGAACTCAGGGTGAGAGCTCAGGGGCTTTTGTTAATATAAAGTTATTTTTCATTCGCTGACATGAAGGGTCAATGTGGCATGATATAAAGATGCTTGCTTTATACCTGCACAAAGGCACGAAATAAATAAACAAAATGGGAGAGGCCTGACGACATGGTCATGAAGCCTAATGTGGTAGGAAACTTCTGTGAAACGTTACCCCTTCCCCCTCCCTTTCCTTTACGAAATAGGTTCCCGGCTACGGGCCTGACCTGAATACATGTGCATGAGTGGATACGTACACAAATATGCAATTATTTCGGCGGATAGATAGATAGATAGATAGATAGATAGATAGATAGATAGATAGATAGATAGATAGATAGATAGATAGATAGATAGATAGATAGATAGATAGATAGATAGATAGATAGATAGATAGATAGAAATTAGTGCTGGTGCAGAGAATACAAAGAAAAGCTGTTAGAAAGAGAGGAAATGCCTTCGGCCCGAAAGCGCGAATGTGCTAGTTGTTGACGCCGCGAGGAGTCACGTACCATCGCACGAATAAAAATGTCCGCACTAAATTATGAAAAAAAAAAGAGAGAGAAGAGGAAACAGAAAGGTACTCAAACGCGGTGAGCGGCTCGAAACAAAGAGAACGTGTGCCTCGTTGCGCGTGCGCTCGTCGTGGCGATTCTCAGAAACGACCACTTTAGCTTATTTTTATTTTTCTCGCGCAGGACACACTCGGTGGAGGAGCACGTGCGACCCGTGAACCGGAGGTCACGCGCCCCGTCTCGTAAATAGGTCAGGGCCGACTTTTGCGCGATTAGTCGCCATTACCGGAACGTGCCAATTTTGTCGTCACGTTACGCGTTAGTTTCGAATATTATATAGGAGGAACAGTACATTGGCGGTGTATCCTGATAGTGTGTCCTGAGTGTGCTCAAGCTTCCCATTTCAGGAGCGTAGCCAGATTAAAAAAATTTTTTTTTGGGGGGGGGGGGGGGGGGAGGGAGAGGAACTTAAACCATGCATTTAGTGTGTTCGTACGTGCGTTTTTATGTCTGCGTGTATACATACGCAAGCGAAGTTGAAAAACTTCGGCAGTTCAATCACCCTCCCCACCCTCCCCTTGGTGTTACCCTTGTCCCGTTTGTCTGGTAGGAAGAAGCGGTGGGATGTTGGAAGTGGAACTGGTTCAGTACTTACTCTGGTACGAGCAGCGGAACTGATAACGAGGAACAAAGAGAGGACCAGACAAGGACGTCGTTGTGCTAAAAACTGTTTGTTGGGCAAGGCTACGGTAAAGAGAGCCACTAACAGTTTTTATAGTTGGTGATTTGCTGCAATTTCTAGCGATTTTGTGACCCCTTGCGCTGTACAAAAAGTATGGGCGTACAGTTTCAGCGGAAAAAGACTGGTCCAAGTGACCGGTTGCAACAGTGCGACACGAGGCGCTCCGTTTTTTGCGAGCGCGCCGATATCGACAGTGACAAGTGCATTCCATTTTCCCAAGTAGGGGCGGCCGGCGGAAAGCACCCAACATGCAGCCCTTTTGGGCAACTGCATAAAGATACGGTTGTTCGCAAGTTCAATGAGAGAACAAAAAGGGATATAGTGTGCCCACCCACGTGTGGTCATAAGCAATGATACGGGCTTTCGGATGGACCACGCAAGATGGGCTGTGCTATGCACTGGTCCGGTGGCCACCCCTACATTTGAAAAATGGACTGTGCTTGTTAGTCTCGTTGTCAGCGTGCTCGTGAACAACAGCGCCGCGTGTCGCAATCGTGCGGCTCCAGATACCGTTTACTAGTGCTAACATTCTTTCCGTTGAGACTGTACATAATCTGGCCCAACAAAGAGTTCTCTTCAGTCCTGCAGGCGACGTCCTTGCTGTCTTCTTTTCGTCCCTCAATTTCAGTTCCACTGCTTGAACCAGCGTTGGCTATTAACAAGTCACTAAGCTGAATATTGTTTCGATTTCTCTGTGCATTGACAGAGGCACAGAAAAAAATTCCGTTGCTGCTGTGGTGATAATTTTTTATGAGTATTTAGGCGTGCTTCATAGAAGCTGGCAATGCACTCACGTCGAGAACAATGTGCAGCTGGTAATTGGGTCTGATAAGGTACTTGACCTGCGGCACAGCGACGCCCCTACCCCCACCTGTCGACAAATCCGGGACAAGGTGAGCGGGGGGGGGCGGACTCCCCTAGCACCCTTTTTTTCGTTTCTTCAATTTCAATTCAATTTTCAAAATTTGTTTTATTGTTTTCTTGTGCAAGACACAAGAAA